CCCAGCTGAACACCTCTGGTGTGACTTTAAATGCAGACCTTGAGCCAAAAACTCATCACCAAACACCAATGACTTGTACATATGTGTACAATCATTTTAGACACTTCCAAAACTGGAAATACCATTTTTAAATATATGAATTATGTTTCCATCTTTGTTGCCACAGTTTTGGAAGTGCCTTTTTCTGTTCTAAAGAAGGGGGTGTCCCAATACTTTTGTCTATATGTATGTACAAGTCACAGGTGTTTGGTGATGAGTCCCAATACTTTGGGCAATATAGTGTATGTTTGGTGCGGTAGGGGGCCCAACCTCATATTCTTTCATAGGGCCCAAAATTGCTAGCGGCGCCCCTGAATATGAGTAACAATTAAACATTACGGAAGAGGTTACCCACAGCTTAATTAGAAGGGAAAATATTAGAAAGGATCCTTGTGACATTTTGGGCGAATTATTTATTAAATGAATCATAAAAAATTGTGGTTGATAAAATGTTATTAACAATAAAATTAACAATTAATTGTTAAAATGCATTGTTTTCCTTTCATATTCCTTTTATATGTGAAGTTACCCTTTATTTTGTAGCTAATTTGCTGGGAGTGGTGGGTTTGGTTAAAAGCAACTAATGTATTATTTAGCAAAAATCCTGACTTTTGTTGTTGGTTTCTGCACACAGCTGTGTGTTCATGAGACTGTTAGCTCAGCAGTTCTCATGCCGGCTCGCCCAGAAAAAGCATACAAGTTGTGAGAAATCAAGAATAATGAAAACGAGACACGAAACACAGTCCATGTGCTCTCTTCTCTGAGGTGAAAATTGTGTTCGTCGCAACAAGAAGTTCTGACTGTCATACCGACCGGATTTCCGGTCTGGAGATCAACTCAGTGAAGATACTTTTTCTCGTGTTTTTATCAGTCTCGATTTATCGCAAATTGTGTGCTTTTCATTCGGATTGAACTGCTGCGCTAATATGTGAACATTCAGAAACCACCAGATAGAACACGCAGGCCTACGTCTGCAAGATGTCTGTTAAAGATCGCTTCATCTGGAAAGCATCTGCTATATGTCAGTTTTACATACATTCTAACATCTTAAAGACATTTTCTTAACGTCTATTTAACATCTGATAGGAAACGTCCTATAGATGTATATGCAGATGAGCAAACACTAAAAATACGTCTTGCAGATGTAAATGCAGACGTCAAATAGTCGTCTCGTGATGTACGTGTGCTATCAGGGCAACGGCCAAGGTCAGGATTTTCGTTAATACATTACATTTCGGTTTTCGGTTCATATAGAGATTGTACGTGTGTATGACCAACCATATAAAATAGGGTGAGCGTGATTTGACCAAGTACAGCATGTTCCTGAATCAACATCCTTGTCAGAATTGAGAGATAACTTTTCAGGAAATATCAGTTTTAGGCTTATGATCAGGGTTAGGTGCTTCTACACCCTTGTTAATCAGCTATCATTTCACACTGATTTTAGGAATAAATTACGGGTAAGGTTAGGTTTAGGGGTAGGGATTTTGTTAAGTCTGTATTTCTGGACAGTAATGTTGATCCAGGATCATCAAAAGATGTTGATCCAGGAACATGTCTTACTTGGCAAAATCACGGCGACCTACAAAAACACGCTGCACATGCTCACAGCACAAGCAAATAAAGAAACGTGCTGCAAATACTGACAACACAAACAAATACAGAAACGCGCAAGTAGCACAGACCACAACAAAATTACCCCAAGTTAAAGGTTAAGTTTTTTTTTTTTTTTCATTTTTTATATAATAAATGTATTTATTAATTAATTAATTTTAACGGTAAAACCATAGGTTATGTTTCATTTTTGTAAGGTAAGTTGTAAAGGTAAGCTAGCCAGCTTACATAACCTTTCAAAGTTACAGTAATTGTGTATTTCGTCAGCTTATCTAGGCTAAAATTATCCCCCCCCCAAAAAAGAAGAAAAACAAGCTAAGGAATCGTATGATCAGGATGTTAAAATAAACAAAAATCTTTTCAGAGCAAACATTGATAAATATGTCCCAGCCATGTTCGTCACTTTGCGGTTCCCTTAAATATTTCCGATATAGTCTGTTCCAGCATGTTTCTGTTTTTGCAGCGTGTTTCTTTATTTGTTTGTATTTAAACTGAACTGAGCTGGATGATGACATCACTGAATTCAATGATGAACTGTCTTTAACTGAAAAATGGGGGTTTACTATTGTCATTTTGCATTATTGACACACTATTTTCCTAATTAATGCTGTTCAGTTGCTTTGACACAATCTGTATTGTTGAAAGCGCTATATAAATAAAGGTGACTTGACTTGACTTGACTTGTATTGCGAGTATTTGCAGTGCATTTCTGTTTTTGCAACACGTTTCTTTATTTGTCTGTGTTGTGAGCATTTGCAGTGCGTGTTGTCAAATTGATGAAGATGTTTTCTTAATTTGCAGGTGTTTTTTCTATTTGCATGTGTTTTTTTCATTTGCAGCGCGTTGAGCTCTCTCGGCCACCGTAGGATAGCCTATACTAATATTAATTTTTGACAACCGTTAAAATTGTTTTGTTTGGGGGTTTTTTTTGTAATATTTTACTGCTGAATGAAAAGACCATGAATAATATCACTGTGTGACACTATACTGTTTGCATGAACGCAATATCAATAGACACTGAGGGGGACTTGTCCCAATACTTGATATTTTTGCTGTGCTCTGCTGTACTATAGGCTATCACAATGCCTGCAAATACTAAAAAGTTACATTTTTAGGCTGGTCCACCTCAGCGGTTGAAGCACTTGTTAATGTCAAAATGATAGGAAGGACTAGTAAAATCAAGGTGGACAGAAGAAAAATGCAAATTCCAGCGCGATGTTTGGCTATAGCTAAACATTTAAACGATCGAACTCAGCAGTCTTGGAGGGCATCTCAGTTCTCTAATTGCACTGTGAGGAGGCGAGGAAGGAATGCATTTCCAACCAGCCTAAAACAGACCCAGATACGTTCAGAGTCAGCCGAGCCCATTCATACTCACCTCTCCTCCGAGGAAAGAGATTGGCGCCAACGAGAGAACCTGTGCAATTACTGTAGTGAGGAAAACCATCACAATGCAGCCTGCCCTCATAAACCCAAGAGATCACCAGTAACCCCACACAGTGTGAGTACTATTGAACTTACTACTAGGCCTAGTTCTAAACGTAGTCTCCTTCTCAATTGTGAGCTCACTTCTGATAATACCACTCATTGTGTTTAAGCGCTAGTGGATTCTGGATCATTAGATCACAATCGGAAGTTATTACAAGCACTTGATGGTGGTTTGAAGTGAGATTTGAGTAAAATCGTAGTATTAATAGACTTATTTAACTTCAAGGGTGGTTCTAGGGTGAGTAGATATCTGGGGCTTAGCCCAGAAACATGAATACACGGGATACACTTAAAATGTGTGTGTGTGAGAGTGTGTGTGTGTGTGTGTGTGTGTGTGAGAGAGTGTGTGTGTGAGTGTGTGTGTGTTTAAAATCTTTATTTAAAGGGGTGGTTGATTTCACTTTTTTAACGTTAGTTAGTGTAATGTTGCTGTTTGAGCATAAACAATATCTGCAAAGTTACGAAGCTGAAAGTTCAATGCAAACGGAGATATCGTCTTTTAAAATTCTGGCAGTTTAATGCCTACAAAAAAGGCTGGTAGGGACTACAACGAGTTACTTCCCGGGTTCGTGACATCACAACCCCGGATAAACCCCGCCCTCGGGAAAAGGCAGCAAAGGGGGCGAGGCCATGCTGCGCTGCTTTAAAACCGTATATTAAAAGCTAACATAAGCAGTAGCATTTACAAATAACAGCATATCTAAAAGTATGAGACAACAATAAATAAAAAACATAGGCCTACCATTAAAAGCCGTGCTTGCACAGGTTCTGCACGATCCTCTTCAATAATATCCTCTGCTTCTTCCTAATATCCTCGGCCTTTTGACGAAGAACCCTAGCTGCGAGCACAACGTGCTGATGGGAAGTGCCTCGCAAACGGGGCACGATCCATCAACAAGCGCTCCCTCAATTAACTAAATGCATGAGCATATTACCACAAAACCATAGTTAAACCATGGTTATTGATGATTACTGTAGTAAAACCATGGTTAATTTTCGATAGTCCTGCTGCTGTTAGCGTTCACATGGATATCCCTCTCATTTGCGAATCCATGCTGATTCATGCTGCTGGGAGTCAGACCATCATCAACAGTTCTTCAGTTATCAGACTTCATTTTTAATTTAACTTTTTCTCATTTTTAAAGAAATCAGATACTCTTTTTTGACTCCCGTAGTTAGCTGAGGTGAAAAAAAACACTTGTTTTCTCATTTGAATATTCAAATTTTAGCATAGTCACGTCACTCACGCCTGATCGACTCTTGAAATGTATTTATTTCTCAAAGTCACAAACCACAGTTGACATTTAAAAAAACTTAATATTTTTTAACAATTTTATGAAGAAACCTTTATTTCATGTCATCTTTCAAGTCATCATCTTAAATTTCCTAGCTGTTTGCTCACTGACCGAACTGAAAAGAACAGTATTTAGTTTAACTTAAATATAAACAGAGTTTATATTTACTTCTTTTTTTCCTCATCTTGAAGTGTTTATATTGTTGAATAAACTGGATTAGACTCTTTTGCTGTTTTGTTGTTGTTTGCCTCACTGTTTCACATGGAGAGCTGAACCTGCAGAAACTACTACAAATGACCCACTGGGATCACATCTTATATTGTTCTCATTTAGTCCTGACTTCATTTCAAATAATTGGTTTTTAGAATTACTTCTTTTGTAGTCAAAGACTAGGGTTTGCTTTTAATCATGAGTGCAGTTTTAGCTTGGTAAGACTCGTCAGGCCTTGCATGAGTTCATCGTATCAGTCATGGTGTTAATACTGTTTGACATTTACACTGATACTGGATTCTGTAATGTGATGTGATGTGATGGAGAACAATCTCTGAGAGACTTCAGCTTTGAATGATTTTTTTGTGTTTGTTTAATGCATATTTATCACAAAAATAAAAACATAATGGATGTTGTAAATGATTCAAGTGTGATATATAGTTTGAAAGCATATATTTTACTAAATGAAAATTATTCATTAACACTGAATAAGCATTAAAATAAATCTAACTTTTATTGAGATCAAATCATTACAAAGAATACATTTACTGAAGAAGAAAAGGAAATATTTTTAACTAAAGGCTTTAAATATTAAGTGAAATGTGCAAAACCTTCAAGGAGCATTCTGATGTCTTCTGGCATAAGCTCAGATACGGGTCCCGGTCAGAGGTGGAAAAATGCTGCCTAAATGAAGTTAAAGTTTTGTATATTTTACTTGAGATTAACAAAGTGTCTGTCTGAATTTAACTGTAGTTGAGTGTAACAGCCCTGCTCTGGCTCTGGTCTGGGGTCAGGGCTCGTGTTGTGAGTCTGTAGTGAGCAGAAGTCTGGGGCTCAGGTCGCGTCTGAAGGGACATGATCGTCCAAACCGTCTCTCTCGCGCACCAGCGCTCTCTCCAGGATCACACGGCCCTCCTTATAGCGCTGGCTGTCCTCGGTGGCAAACTCGTAGATCCAGCCCAGCTTACTGCTGCAGTTCTTACAGCTGACATCGGCGGTTTCTCCATTAGGGCGATTGGGCGACGCACCACCAAAGCGTGAACGGGAGGGATTTTTTTTTTTCACATTCAACCACAGTGTTACGCTAGCTTTCACTGTTTGTTTTGCCTCTAAATAGTCCAATCGGCGTCGAGTCGCGTTTTGTGTAGTTCTCAAAAAAACTCACTCTGTATGATTTATAAGCGTTTTGAAATATCGGGACATGGGGTAATGTTCTCATAAGTCACCTTCGCCTTGTAATACCTGTGTCATACCCATGTCATTATACAAATTTGTAGTGTAAAAATAGTGTAACTATTTTAATTACTTTATTAAAGTACTGTAACTGATTACATTTGATTACTTTTTGATTACTTTTCTACATTTCTAATTAATGTTTTAAACTGTTAATAATTTTGAAACATGTAAAGCAGTCAGGGTTAATCTTTCAGTCGCACTCAACACCGATTACTGTCAGACTTTCAGAATCCATCACTCGAATTAATATTATAATAATTTCATTTTAAAGCACAGCCACCACAAAATCAGACTTTAGCACCTTTTTAGCACCGTGATCCAGGAAGATCCGGCCCATTGCAGCTGTGATATTCACACCTCACTTAATTACTTAGCATTACGAGTTATTATTATCAGTATTAATCAAGCGCGCCACACATGTCCTGAACAGTGAAGCCAATGCATTTCGATCGCCCCCACTGCAGCATAGATCTTACTCCATGCAAATCATTGCAACCTGAGACAAACTAAAGAATCAAATTACACTTCAAACACATTTTCCCCAAAGATGGTTTCATTACTTTAGGTAGCCCTTTAGGTGGTGCTTCTAGTTAGTTATTTGATGATAAAAACGGGCGTGGCATCCTGATTGTGTGGGTGGGGCTTAATCCTGTGACTCCACCCACAATCACTCCACATGACGTCATTAGAGCAAGATGGCAGTGTTGGGCAGGAACTAGTTACTAGTAACTAATACTAGTAACTTTGCAGTAACTAGTAGTGTAACTAATAACTAATAAGATTTCAGTAATAATATTACAGTTGGTATTACACGGCTGATCCTGATATAAATTGTTACTATATTTAAAAATCTTTTTGGAAAACGAAACATTTTCTTATGAACTTTTGTGATTTATTTTGATAAAATACATCATGAAATAAAATCATATATGGGTAACAGAGAAATTATAGCTGCAATTAGTTTCAAGCTGCACAATTAATGAGAATAATACAGCACTTTTACTTAAAAGTCACTATCAATCACCGCTGAGCGTTTGTAATAACTTCTGACTGCGATCCAGTGTGGATTTTGGTGAAATAAGAAATATATTGTTAGTAACATTTTAGAAGAATTTTGTGGGAAAAAGAAAAGTAATGTAACTAGTAGTGTAACTAATTGCAGTAGCCAGAGAATAATAAGTAATGTAATAATATTACTTTTGAAAGGAGTAACCAGTAGAGCCCAACACTGTTTCTGGGATGTTTCGGCTTTGTTTTTGTACAGTGTAAGGAACTAAAGACACGTCGTCTACACAGTTTTTATAGTCTATGGTATGAACGGTAATAAAGAGTGTGATACTCAGAGATATGTTTTCAGTCAGACACACACAGTCTCTCTCTTCATCAGGTGTGTTATGGACTGATAGTGAGGGGCGCTTTTGAAGCACTGCTTCCTGAAGCTTCGAAACTTTTCTGAATCATTTGTTTCCAAACAGTGGTTTCAAACTGCCAAAGTCTGTGATTTCAGTAAAAACGCTTCATTACGCCATAACTGTTTCGAAGCGTTTGCTATGATCTCTGTGAACCCGTGAATCAAGCGAGATCGACCCCCCAGCGGTGAAACATTGAAACAGCGTCTGGTTTCTCCTGATCTCAGATCACTTTCATCAATTTGTAGACATTTTTAAGGAGACATTTGTGTAATTAAAAGGATGAGAAGTAGTTACTAGTCTCTTACTGGCCTTTATATAGAAGCTGTCCATTAACACTAACAAACAAGCCCTGCAAATTAATATAAAGTGTTTTAAAAACCACATATTATACATAGACTTCATATTTAATGGTATTTTACTATTTTTATTACATTTAATGTATTATAGTTTCAGGAAATCATTTGCAATGGGCTTTTAAAAGCTGTTTTCGTGCATGTTTTAGCCTGAGTTTTTGTTGCATTTACACACTTTTGGCCAGCAGGCGTCACTAGTGTGTGGAGCGCTTCGAAACACTGAATCATTCAAGAAGGTTCGTTTCTCCCATCACTACTGAACAGAACGCGGCACGCCATCAGTCTGATGTGACGCACTAACTAGACGCAGTCCTTTAACACAGACAAACAAACGAGCAGCTCACCGTTTTCTGTCGCCTTTAAACCAGTCAGATGAAGCACGAAGCTTTCTTTCCTCTTTCTGTCCTCTCTGTCTTCTTCTTCTTCTTCTTCTTTTGGTTTTATGGCGGGTTGCGAACCAACTTCATAGGTGCATACCGCCACCTACTGTGATGGAGTGTGAAGAGAATGTACTCACCTAAATCTTAAATTCTGTTCATTATTCCACAATTCTTAAGAAATCTCATGACTGCACTTATTTGTTTTCCTGCATTTGGACCATCATTCAGGATACTACTTAATGAAAATTCTTTAACTCCTAAGGATTGTAATTCATCTTTAAGTCGATCCCTTTCTCTTTCATATGCTGTACATACCATCATAACGTGTTCCACTGATTCCTCTGTTAAACAAACATTACATAGACCAGTATTATGTTTCCCTATAATGTATAGCCCAACCCCGCCACGGCGTCTTTCCTTCGCCATGACGCCCCACTTCGTTCCTCGTGATCCTGCCGCCATCTTCCGGGCAAAACCGCTTCGCCTGTGCTCGTTTTTCCTGATCTGTGATCTCGCACTGCAACGGATAAAAATCCACGTCACTGCTCGCGCGTGCCAGCGTCCTCTCTGTCAGTGTCACAAGAGAAGAAGAGTGTTTGTCAACATCCGGGATTCTGTTCTGCGCATGCGCACATCACACGTGCACTGATGACGTACGACGTTAACGTTGATTCGATTTACAGGATATACCCTGCGTTCCATTCGGAAGGGCTCATCCCTATGCTCTAATCCCTTCAAAGGGTTTACCCTCCGGAGTGAGAGCTTCGAAAGGGTTGAAGGGTGTAGGGGACCAAACAACTGTTTCTTGAAGTGCCCTTCTGCGTCATCATCACGTGCCCACACTGTAACAGTCATAGCCTGTCACAAGGTTCATTTTGTATTCTTTTGGCGTGCTATGTTCTTCCGGACCATTAGGTGGCCCTAGTAGCTCTCCATTTCTGTATAAAGGAAGGAAGCAGTAGAATGAGGGAGAGACTCAGTTTGAACTCCACATGGTTTCTTGCTGTGCTACAAACAATCCTCTTCGAAATCCTTCATTCCGAAGGGCCCTTTGAAGTGGCCAGTTTTGAGCTCTTCGGTTTGTAACGACCCTTCAGTATGGTAGCCATGACTGTTTTCACTCCGAAGTGCCCTTCGGAGGGCGATTATATCCCGTTTGGAACGCACCGATAGACTTGATCGGTGTCATGTCATAGCTGTGTGGGCGGAGGGGTTCATTTTGTATTCTTTTGGCGTGCTATGTTCTTCCGGACCATTAGGTGGCCCTAGTAGCTCTCCATTTCTGTATAAAGGAAGGAAGCAGTAGAATGAGGTGACTGGACAAACGACCCAACGGAATGGCCAGAGGTGTCGTTTCCCCACAGTTTTTGTTACCTAATTGAGCAAGAGACAGCTTCCTACAAGCCTATATGAGACAGCTTGTGAAAGTAAACATTTGTGTTTTGTTTTGCTTAATTTTAATAAAGTGGTAAAGACTTGAGTAAAAGCCTGTCGTACTTCCTTATTGATATATTCAAAAGTTTTTTAACATTGACAAAACGGGTAACATTAAGGTCCACTGAAGTGCCTTGAAATGCGCAGCGTTATTCTATGTGGTG